GTCGACTGCCTTACTTTCATGAGATCTTTCAACTCCCACTATATATTTGTTCTATCCCATACTATAAATTGATCGTGAGACCAGCAGTACTCCAATTTATTGCAACAAGTTTAAATAGCTTGGGGTTGCGCACTCTCCCAAGAACAATTTTATTTCCCGCAAGAGATACGCTATCCAAGTACCACATTCATTCATAATCAACAGTCATTGTTCATTCCTAAGTAGGATTCTAGTCGGTCTAAGTCTTATTTGGGGGTTTTATTGATTTGTACTCATCAGAATAGAAAACATAACTACTTAGCTAAAGCAAAATTCAGGCAAATATAATTAAAAATTTTGTTAGTTTGACAATGAATCATGGTAATCTCATCAAACCAAAGAAACTGCATGTAACATAGTATAAAAATTAGCGACATTTTAATCTGTAGATTAAAGAAAGAAAAAGTTGCGATGATATGATAACGAAGCTTTACTTAATAAGGATATTGCGAGAATATTCATCATGCTAACTCTTAGTAATCATGACAATTACCTTCCCACTTTTCATAAAAGAAACAACACGCACCGGACGCTAAAGGCCTATAGAGTCTAAAGTGCACATCGTAAACGACCTCTAAGAATGCGATGGATGGATGCAGTCAAAACTGATTTGCGAAAACTTGAAGAGTGAAATTCGTAGTGCCCAGAGAGATGGAAAAACGTCAAGGCTTAAAATGACCCAGATATGCAGATATGCTATATCAAGCTTTACTTTTAGCATGTTGGTAAGATACATTTATAACATAATTTATATTATCTTACATATCTCAAATTTATATTTTATTTAATTAAAATTATATTCAACTAATTTCTTTAATAAACCAAGACTTTAAAGATTTAAATAAATAATATATTAAATTGATTTATAAATATTACTTTTAATACAAAAAGTGACTATTAAAGTCTTTAAATAAAAATATTTCAATATAAAATCAGGCGAAGGAAGAACTTCATATTAAAATATTGAAAACCAATGGACTATTTGGAAAAATGTTTAAAACCCTTGTAACTTATTAATTTGCCAACAACTTTACACCGATTAATCAAGTTTCGTTATTAATGGTTTATTAATTTTCATTAAGCACGCATAGGTTCAAAGTTTAAAAGATACACAAATTATGTAGTGAAAAACTTCGAAAACTTCTCATTATCGTGCCAATACGCAATACAATTAATTTGAAAATCGAATGCGTGCAAAAGTTACTCATACGCCTCGTCTTACTTCATCAGTTCGAAGTTTATTTAGTGCCCTAAAGTCTTTCAAAATTCATTTGTAGTTTCAACAAATTAACAACGTTTTCTCAATAAAGAAAAGTCGGATGGAAAATAAAAGCGTTGATAAGGAACTAAACAAACACAAATCCAACCAATTTATGTCTTAAATGAACTTAAAGTTTAAATTGAAACTATGTAGATTTTAAGGAAAACTAAGAAGCCTAAATTATATTGGAGATCTATTATTTGATAATATTGCAAATTTTATTAAACGAAAAATCAACTGTTTCAATAACGAAAGTTTATAAACGATATAACTTCTGCCCAAAAACTATCCGGATTTTGTTGTTTGTTAACTATTCCTTAAGTAAAAGACCTTTTTCAAAAAATTTTTTTGTTATGTTGGTACACTTTCTTGACATATGGTACAAATTTGAGCGCCATCTGTCAATTAGTTTGTTTACAGCAGCTGTTAATGTGAGACTTCCTCAAGTGCATTTAGCGATTTTTACTATGGAAAATTCTTGTTGGACGCGATTTTTTGACCAAACACGGCACACTGTCATCGCTCAGGCACCATATTCGCCAGATCTTCTAGATTGTCCCTTCGTGGGAAGCTTTTTGAGTCGATTGAATCGGTAAAAGAGAATTCGCTGAAGAAACTAAAAGCCATACCTTCACGGGCCTACGAAAAGTGTATGGAAAATTGGGTTAAGCGTTGGCATATGTGTATCGCCTCAGAAAGAGCATATTTTGAAGGAGATAAAATAAATTTGGAATAAAATTTAAATTTGTTTGTTTTATTTACCAAATCCGAGTACTTTTTAAGCAGAAGGTACATATATATAAATAAATATAAATAAATTATACAGATATAAATTATTGAAAAGTATGTAAAGTTTAGTATCCGACAGGACTACTGATTAGTTTTGATCTCCTAATAGTCACATTTCAATAAATTTTATAGATATAAATTTTTTAAAAGTATGTGAAATTTAGTATCCGACAGGACTACTGATTTGTTTTGATGTCCTACTAGTCACATTTCAATGTTTTGTAAGAGTCGAAATACATAAATTAGTAAAGAAATCTACTAAGTAATAATCTTTCTCGAAAGTTTGCTTAAGTTTTATTTACCAGAAGAACGGCTTTGAAAAAAAAAATCATTGTTTTATCCTATGAGTAATTAAACTATGTTTGACATTATTATCAATTTAGTTGTATACTTTCCTTGGTGTGGCACCATATTTTAAAACATTCTTTCGAATGAGTGTACTAAAATTTAAAAAAAAATTGGATAGGCTACTTTGATATAACCTTTTACAGATAATTTAAATAATTTATGACAGCAGAAGAAATTAAAATCCTTATAAGAAAATATATCGATTTATTGAGTTCAATGTTAAAAACAACAAAGCAATAAACGCTTTTTTTCAAAATCACTTGAAATTGGAGCTTCTAATTTCAGAATAATCTGCGAAAAACATTTTCAGCAAAAACTTTGGTACTTGAAATACGAAAGCAAACATTTTTAAATATTTAATCAAGATCTTTTTTTCAGAATTCGCTTTCATTAAAATTCCACTAAAATCTAACGATACAGCTTCAGCTACTGGAGTTTTTTCCTTATGGCAGCACTTGTGTCTTGCTACTTGTGCTACAACTGCTCCACGGCATCCGTTCATTTGATGTATCACATGATCCAAAGTGCAACAGAAGAACAGAAGACTTAACTCAACATGTCAATTTTTTGTCCTTATTTCAGTTTTAGTGTTAGATCCTTTGTAGCTGCACATTCCTTTATTTACACACATAGCCAAAGAACAACTTCATGTACATGGTAAGGAGATGCAAAATGCAAAGTGGTATGCCGAGATATTGACATCAAATGCTACAAGGCGTGTTCGATTTAAGTAGTTGCAAATAACAAAATGAGTAAAAAACCTTCAACAACTGTGTAAAGTAGAGAATTTTGATACACTATTGCTGTCATACAAGAAAAATGTTTTTCACTTAAAAGCAAAAGAAAAATAAATAAATTTCTGCAGTATTTTATGCAGCGGATCTGAGATATATAAGTTTTTATTTAAGTTTGCATGTAAATAAAATCAGAATAGTTATTTAGCTCAGTTCCTCAATATCTCTCAGCTTTGAGTAAACTTAAACTTTTGATGATTATTAATATTAAATTGTAGTAAATCAGTAAGTAAGACTCGATTAAGTTCTAAGTTTTTTCTCATATTCTTCTTACCAATCCCTTTCACGTTGCAAAGTAAAGTGTGTTCTACAAAATCTCTTCCATTCCTGATGGTTCAGATCTTTATTCCATTTTTGTTTTCTTTTCGTTGTTTCAGAAACTTTCTTTGCCTTGCGTATCCGAAAAGTCTTCTTCTCTATGTCTTCATAACGAGAACACACTTCTTAATAAAATAAAATCATTTATTAAATATTAAAAAGTAAATCTAGGAATTAGTGTTTTATAAATTAACTCCATTTATTTCAGTAAATTATTTTAAGGTAATGAAATATAAACATTTCAAGTTTTTATTTATTCTTACTAAAATTTAAGAGTAAATTTAATATAAAAATGTTTTCAATTTCAACTATTCCTGAAAAATAAAATGGAAGAAGTCATTAATTAATAAATCTGTCTTATTACAACAAGTAACTTTTCATTAGTTGCTTAAGGAATTAATACCACTAGTATTAATAACAGTAGTAATAAAAATAACGGTTATGCTGGTATGAGTATAATTTATCCTTGCTACGCATACTCTTACCCATTGATGACAGGTCCTTATTGCCGTTTTGCCGCTTTGTGTTCATTAATCAGCGTCAAGTACTTTTCATCCTAACTGAGCC